GCTCGCTCTTCCTCCCCCCCCCCCCAGCCTGGGCAGGGAGACTGAGGCACCGCGCCACCACCCTGGCCATCTCCCTGCCCAGGCTGGAGCTGCAAGGGGTGGAGAGAGAGAGAGAGTGTGCGCTGAGGCACGGGTTTGCGAAGCTGGCTTCCCCACAATCTTTGCAAACCCCCGCCAATGAGCTGTGCTTCGGGGCTCTCTCTCTCCACCCCTCACAACACAGCTGATCGGCAGGGCCTTTGGGATGATCGTGGAGAAGCCCTTCCCCACGATCATCACAGTGCGATTTTTGGCCATCTAAAACATCACAACCTCATCGGTATGCGGATTCATCGTTAAACGGGGCGCTCGTTAAGCGAGGCACCACTGTACATTGAAATCCTGGACTTGTTTCCTCCAAAGTAAACCACCCTCAGAAAAGCAGCTATGTATAGGAGTGCAGACTTTTAATATATATTTTATACACTGCATAAAGTGTATACACACATTTCACTTATTTGAAATGTAGTGTTGGAAAAGAGTTTTACAGATAGCATGACTTGTCAGAGAGATAAGGAAAGCAAGTTAAGAGTGGACTCTCACGAGAAGCTGAATTAAAATAACCAAACAAAGCGAGAAAAGCAGCTATGTATAGGAGTGCAGACTTTTAATATATATTTTATACACTGCATAAAGTGTATACACACATTTCACTTATTTGAAATGTAGTGTTGGAAAAGAGTTTTACAGATAGCATGACTTGTCAGAGAGATAAGGAAAGCAAGTTAAGAGTGGACTCTCACGAGAAGCTGAATTAAAATAACCAAACAAAGCGTATTGTACTACAGTGGCATCATGAGAAGACAAGCTCACTGGAAGAGGCAGCAATGCAGGAAAAAGTGCAATACAGTAGGAAAATAGGGAGAATACACATGAGATGGATTGACTCAATAAAGAAAGCCACAGTCTTTGCTTGTAAGACCTTTTGTTTGGTGTTGCAGTCAAAGCAGGACCAGGAGCAGAGAGACAGAGATTCTGTTTTGGGGAATAAACTATGATACTCTTGCCTGCTTTGGGGATGAGAAATAGAGAAACACAATTGCTACACACTTCAGACATCTAATCCCAGGATGTCATCCTCTCTCACACATACACCCACCCTCCCTCCCTAAATTTTCTACAATCTTACCTTTAAATAAGCTTGATGAATCTACCCTTCCCTCTCTCGCACCTTCCTTCCCAACTTATTCAGCTGCAGCGGAAGTAATCATTCACAAGCCGGCTCCCTACATCCTTTCCCTCCCTTCATCCTTCACTACTCTCCTCCCCCACATCAACAGTCTCTTCTTCTTTTATGCTGTTCCCTACTTCCTTTCCAGAAAGTTCTCTCTCTTTCTACCTTGCAGAAGGTTCTCTCTCTTTCTACCCTTTGTTCAAATGCCAAACTCTTCCTCACTGAGGGCTCGTCCTATCTCGGACAGTACAACAAGGAGGGTTGCCAGATATACCCCCAAGCAGGCTGGTGCTTGAAGGGGTTCTGGGAACAGCAGAAGTCAGCCTTTGCCACAGACCAATGGCCTCCTCTCACATCAACTCTCGGATCTCACTCTGTGCTCTAATTTTTTCTGATCTCTGAATCTTAACTAAACTTTCATCTTCTGAAATCTACTCCCACAGTATTCCAATCGTGCTAACCAATTAGCATTCAGTCATTCAGCAGCCCATCATACTAGCATTCCGCCCATACATATCCATTACAATGCTATTTTCATACTAACCTGGTGTAGGTAATTATAGGTAAATTTTTACATAGAAGCTCCGAATGGGTGAAATTGTGACAGGAATACATTCATTCCATTTAGTTCTTGTTCTGTTCTGTAATAGCGTAAGATAAAAGGAAATATTCTTCTTCTGATTTTTAAAGTGTTATTTTAAACACTTGCCGTTTCCTCTGAAAAGGATATATGTTTGACAGTGTTTTCACAGTTGATGCAAAGAGCACTTTTAAATGCCCATTTGCAGATGTTTCTTAAAGTAATATGGAACATAGGTGTTTGTAGATGAAGTGTATGTTCTGCCTAGTGTAGCTTTCTTTTTGAATTTGGAGTTACAGAGAAAATAAATGTCTGGAATTATTCTGAAACATTTCTCACCAGACAAAACCAAAAACAAAAAGGTATAGAGATGTTATTAATAGCAGAAAAAATAAAAACTGTACAGATAACTCTATGTCTACAGGGTCTGGCAAAAAGCTTGCATGTATAACATAAGAATAGAGCCTGAAGAGAGATTTAAAGATGGGAAGTTATGTCATTCTATACAAAAACTATATTTAGAAGATTTTTTTTATTGAAAGACGGACAGACAGACAGACAGACAGACAGACAGACAGACAGACAGTGGTTAGAAAAGAAAGCTGTGTGAGACATAATAGTAGTTGCAACTTAATGAAGTGCAGTTATAGAATCTGTAAATTGGTGTACACCAATTAATGATCACACGGGCTATATGAGCTTTAAAATAACAAATTTGGCATTCTATGCAAGCTGTAATAGCCCACAGATAAGGCCTATGATAGGGAGGTAAGAGATATCTAGTAAGATGTATATATGTATATAGATGCTTTTAGTGCTTTTGTGTTTTTAGTGTTTTTAATGCTTTTATATTGTTCTTATGTTCTTATGTAACTTACTTTTGCTGGTCAATGACCGCAATAAACATTTATATATAATGTATATGATTTCAAAACAAATTGACATAAATTTAAAATAGGATTACCATTTTTCCAAGGTCTAGCATGTATATAGCCTGTGCCAGTCTGTACATTAGTGAACTAATTTACATAAAGAGAATTCTTTTTTGCACAGATGAGTGCATTTTGGAAAAAAAACCCTCAAAGTATTCCTAGTGTGTAAATGAATGCCTTAGTCTCTAATGTAGTGTAAAATTGTGCTTATCAGTCTCGCTGATTGCTTTGCCACTTATTTACATGAGAATTTCTCTGCAAATCTCTATGTACTCCATTTCATCTTAATTTTCAGTTGTAGGAATTCAATTGTAAGTGTTTAGACAGCTTGATAAACACCACAGTTAATCCTACTTAGCAAGATGCACACTTAGTAAACTAATTAGGTTAGAAGAAATCAGAATGGGACAACACTTGCCTAAAAATATACTATACGTTTGGGAAGTCATTGGATTTTGTCTTGGAATGTTTTTATGTAAACTGCCCTTTTGTTGTCTTTTCAGTGAATTCCCTGAAATCATTAACATTCCCTAAAAGTATCTAAAGTAATATTTGATTTGAAAGGAGTCTAAATATTTATTTAAAGAGTGACAAAAAGCAAAGGTTTAATATCTTCTTTTTTAACCTCACAGGAAAATTAGGAGGATTTGCACAAGAGAACAATACTATAGATTCTGGTGAGCTTGATATAGGCCGAAGAGCAATGCAAGAGGTTCCTCCTGGGATCTTCTGGAGGTCGCAAGTCTTTATTGATCAACCACAGTTTCTGAAATTCAATATCTCCCTTCAGAAAGATGCATTGATTGGAGTATATGGCCGAAAAGGCTTACCACCTTCACATACTCAAGTAAGAATAGCAGTTGTTTCAGTGGAAGCAAGATTCAGTATTTGAAAAGAACTGCTTTATGGCTTTTAGAATATGTTATTGCTCTGTGTTATTTCAATAATTCCATTTTAATTATTTCTGTTTCCTGTATTGTCTCAGGTTGATGATATTGACAGTAATTTTATGTTAGTTTTTTAAATGTAATTTTGACACTTCATTCCTGCTGCATATGGAAATTTCCTGATTACTTGTGTAAGCTACCACAAGTAGAGAAAAATGTGCATGCATTGGCCCATTTTGAAAAATGCAGTTTAGCACAATACTGCATATGAGACAATCCCCTTTACATTCATCTGCCTGCCAACAAATTAACATTTGAATTGCTGAAGCAGTATCCCCATCTAGAAGATTTGACCCGAATGTGACAGATTCTGTGAAAGAAATATCCTGGCTGCAGCCTTAACAAGGGTGAGAGGCAAGAGGAAGGCAAGCTGCCCACTGAGTGACTGTGAAAAGCTATCAGCTGTTGATCACAAAACCACTCCCTGGGAAATACTTAATAGGTGACTTGAAGATAGAAACATATGTTTGGAGTGAGATGAGTAGAAAAGGCAAACCAAGAACGAGGAAAACTCAGTGTTTTGAATTATAGGCATTTGGAGAGAGGAAAAACACATGAAAAGGGAAACGTTGGGATACATATAGACTAGAAAGCAGGGACATTCGGCATTGGAGACAGAAATGAATACGAGCACTTATTTCCTGTGAGCTCACTTTTGCTGATGGGAGTGATAGAGCACATATTTGCATCTGGTTGGTGGGACCCAGAGATCTGTAGTTCCTAGACTCGTGGAAGGATCTGAATACAGACATACCAAGTGCCTGACTTTTTTATACTTTAGACACAAGTATTTTTCCTAATATGTTTTGCTATCAGCAAGACAGTGTTCTGGAGTTTAAACACTTGGGCTTACAGGCCCAAATCCTGTTTCCCCCGCTACGTGCATGTGCAGTTGTGGGTTTTTTATTTTATTTTATTTTATTTTGCTAGCTTAGATGCTTGAATGTGAACCTTTCACATAAGAAAAAATCAGAAGTAGAAATGGCTTTGACAACCCCCTTCTAGATAATAAGTTGCTTAATATATTAATGTCATCACCAATTTTTACTAAACAGGATTGGCACAGCCTTGGTCTTTTTTTTCATTCCTCAGTCTGTTTTTAAAACAGAAACATCAGATTTAATTGTTTATTTTCTAAGCAGCTGTTACTGTACCTTTTAATATAATTAGAAATGATATTTTGCAGGTTCCCTCTTATTTTGTAACTTTATTCCTCAATGTGGCAAAATGACTGTTTATTTGTAAGCTTTGCCTGTGTCCGAACAGTCTGGGCGACAGAGCTTTCTTTTTTCTCAGACATCATAAATAAATCAACCAGAAATAACTGATAGTGGCTGCCCATTCAAAAATAGTCAGTGGTAGTCTGCAAGTCTTTCAGACACTTTCTTAAAATGTCAGTTCGATTACAACCAGCTAATCAATATGTTTATTTAAAGAGATTTCACAAAATAACAAATGACTTGGTTGCTTCAAGCAAAAATGTGTTAGGGAGCCACATGTATATCCAGCAAATATAGGAACCTATCCATGGAAGTGAAAAACAGATGCAATGTTGTAGTGCATACAGATTTTGAAAATGCTTACAGCAACCAATGCACTTCCTCTGGAGTTACTTCATTTTTATTTCCTTGTGGAAAAGCTTGTTTCTACAGTCTGTCATGGTACAGAAACCAGTGCTACTTTTGAAGGTGATTGAAAGCACAATGGTGACTCTCTAGGTTTAGGTTTCTCTCATAGTTCCATGTAGCCCTGCCCAATGGAAAATGACAATTGGGCATGCAGTGACATAGTAAGACATTTCATTATGTAAATTGCCAGACAGCTATGGTGTTTTAGTGCAAAGAAGACAAAAGCCTATTTCCGTCTAAGAATAATTTTGATTCACTGGGGTATGGGTGTAGCAGAATGTAGGCAGAAATGTGAAAATGTATCCATCTGCTTTCCATTGATTTTCTTGGAATCCTGTTGGTATTTTCATTTTCACAACTGAACTAGGTTGCAAATCCTTTTTCTTCCTTCCTGAATAGATATTCACCAAAGAGATTTCCTAGCTTCCCCTGACAACAAGAAGTCAGTCTCATATCCCAACTTTATTTTGTCTATTGATCTGCACAGGAAATTGTAAAATCCTGTGCATCTTGATGCTCTTTCCAGAGAAAGAGCAGAAAATATGCCATTTTGAAGGGGAATTGTTAAAATCTTGCACAGCTTGGAATTACTTCCCTAGAAGTATCCACAAAATATGTGAGAAATCCAGTAAAAATTTTGGCAGAAGACTCTCGTGAGGAGAAAATAGGATTTTTTCCCTCTCTGTGTCTGTCCAGAAGCAGGAGGCTATGAGATCCACATTTCTTCTGAAACCTAGCATAGATTCCAAAGTTATAAGATGAAAACTGATTAGGGATTTCTGTTGCCTTGTGTAGAACAACCAATGTCACCAATGTCATTGTTTTCAAATATCAAAACAATTGGCATTTTTCAAAATAGTGAAAAACTAGTGATGAGCACTTGCCTATATTAGTTATGAGTACTGTAGTTGGTATTTTAAAAGTTTTGTTGTAAGCTGTACCTACTCCCTAACCATAGTATACAAAAGATGCTCTGTCCCAATCCCAGGCAAATAGCTAAAACAACAAAACCCAAAAGGAAGGCAGGAAAATTTGAACGATCACAACTTTATCAGACTTCCTTAAAGTACTGTAGTATGAAAAAGCATTCACCCCAGGATCCCAAGGGACTCCCCCTCCATATTGGGAGTGGAAGCCACTTGTTTGTCTCCCACCAGTTTGGATTTGGTCCTAAGCATCCAACTGCTATGTTTTAACCAATTAAAATGCTTACAAGACCATTTTTACAACAATACACAACTTCTCATCAACATAATCCAAGCTAAGTAATATAAATCCTACTAACAACACCTATGCCTCATAGAAGTCATACATAATTGGAGGGATTGTTGAGCAGAAGTTCCAACGCTGCCTCCCCTAATCAAGCTCTGCTCCCCCAGTGTGCTCCAAGAAGTCCCAACCCAACCAGGCAAGTCTGCCTCTAATTGACCTGTGGGTAGGAGAAAGCAACATGCCAGTACAAACCAGGCAAGCTCACAGGACAGCCACTATGAAGATGGTGAACTACTGTCACACCACCCAACCATCATGTCACAAACTGTGCCCTTGGTAAGGCAAACAGAAGGGACCCCAACTTAGCACAGAAATGACATTATGAGCTACATTTGGGGACTTACCGTATTTTTTGCACCATAAGACGCACTTTTTCCCCACAAAACAGGGGGGGTGGAGAGTCTGTGCGTCTTATGGAGCGAAGAAAACAGATTATATTTTCCTGTTTTCTTCTCCTAAAAAATTGGTGCTTCTTATGGAAAGGTCTTATGGAGAGAAAAATACGGGTAAATGGTCCTCTACAAAAACTCTACTCTCTGGATAGAGAAGGAAAATGAAGCCATTTAGTATGATACAAATTCGGTGAGAGAAGTTTCAGCAGTGGCGGATGTAATAAAGATGCCATTGCCATATTTATATTACTTCTGTAGTATCCATAATACTTATTTTACTTCAGCTCATGATCAGTGTAACAAGCCTCCAGCATAGATTTTGTGCTGTTATTTTACACATTGCAGAATATATGTGAATCTGAGAGATAATAACTTGAGTCAAAATAATAAGCTCATAGCCATGGAAAGATTTCTTAGTTTACTCTCTTAGTCTGTACACATGACCAGGAGTTGACTGTATTTTTCCTAATTTCAGGTGTAGGAAAATAAGGCACCAAGCATCTGAAGATTTAAAAAGTTCTTTGTTGCTGTTAATTTTGACATACTCCACATAACCTATCTATCATTATTAATAAAACGCAATGCTTTAATTATTATTCTAATGTTATGTTTTAAACTGAGATGAGATTTTCTGTTGTTGATCTTTGTTAATCACCAAATGCTTCTTTACTGGTCCCCTTCTTGAGTAAAAAGTTTATAATTCTGTGCCGTATAGTTGAACTAAGAATATAGAGACTGTACAATGCACATTCTAACTGCTAATCTTAAATTTTTGTTAACAATGTTTTCTTCATTTTAAGGAAGCTACTGTGGCCCACCTCTATTCTGACTTCTCTTGTGTGGTTATGATCCCACCAAACTACATGTTGTTTGGTTGCATTCTACACTACTTTGAACATTAAATGTGGAAAGTACTTCAGGAACTTTCATTAAAAAAATTTAAATGCCCAATTACCTGTATGAAAATGATTTCATACATAAAAACAACACTACATAAATGGATTATACATGCAGCATTTCCTCTGTTTTCCTTTGCAGTATGACTTTGTGGAACTTTTGGATGGGAGCCGGTTGATTGCAAGGGAACAGCGGAATCTTCTTGAATCAGAGCGGGCTAATAGACAGGCAAGGTCTGTCAGTCTTCATGAAGCGGGTTTCATCCAGTATTTGGATGCTGGGATCTGGCATCTTGCTTTTTATAATGATGGGAAAAATGCAGAACAGGTGTCTTTCAATACCATTGTAATAGGTAAGCATAATATCCACAATGTTCATTAGCAAATGCTGCAGCTAAACCTTTCTTTAATAGAGAAGATTGTATCTTATCTTTTAAAGATTTTGAATGTTTTTCACAAAACTATTTGAATTGTGTATAATTGTGCAAAAAACAAACAAACATCCTTATCTTTTGTGTGTACTAAATATATCTTTCTGGCATGTTTCTGAGCTCTCTTGATAGACTGAAAAAACTTGTAACAAATTTATTAAAATGTGTAGCCTTTTTCTCCTTTGCCACTGAAGTAACATTCTAAAACCAGTAATTGCACACTATTTACTTTTTCAAAGGAAGTAAATGTACTACGTGTACACTTCCAGAAGCATCTTAATTTGCTGCCACTTACCAATGATTTAAATGAATGTTCTCTGCTGTTTTTATTAACTGCTTTGATTGCACTGTGTTAGAGTTTCTCTTCTTATGGTCTCTTTCAGAGTCTGTGGTGGAATGCCCCCGGAATTGCCATGGAAACGGAGAATGTGTATCAGGATCATGCCATTGTTTTGCTGGATTTCTGGGCCCTGATTGTTCAAGAGGTATATAAACTGAACTCTTTCTTAAGTCAATACAAATAAGGAGCAGAAACACAAGTAGTTACTAGAGGAGCAAGAAAAAGAATCTGAAGTACAACTTGTTGTGTAGATGTTCTTCTGCCTCTAAAGCTTGATTGAAAAGAATTGCGTTAAGTCTTCTGTCATGTTTAATTTCACAGCAGCCTGCCCAGTATTGTGCAGTGGCAATGGGCAGTACTCCAAAGGACGCTGTCTGTGCTACAGTGGCTGGAAAGGTACCGAGTGTGATGTGCCTACCACCCAGTGCATTGACCCTCAGTGTGGGGGTCGTGGGATTTGCATCATGGGCTCTTGTGCCTGCAACTCTGGATACAAAGGAGAAAACTGTGAGGAAGGTAAATATATTAAATATGTACTTAGCATTGACTGCAGTTGTGGGTTGTTGTTTTTTTGAGGCCCTAAATTTAAGATCAAATAACTCTTGCTGCTAATGCCTTTTCAGTATAATCAAGTATCACATTCATGCATATCATTTGCATTCAGATTCTTCAATTATATTAAGTGTAGGATGTAGAGAATATTCCTAGATCTGTGGGTTTTAGTTATGTTAATTATTGAATGCGTAAATAGATTTTAACCTCTTGGCCTGTGACTAAGCTCTTCACTACATCTCCTGGCTGAGACCAGTCAGGAAAAAAGAAAACACTGTTATTTGATGGAAGGTTCGGTTAAAAAAAAACAGACAAAAAACAAAATTGTTACTGTGTTATATAAACTAAATTCCGGAAAATAATGATTGAGCCTAACACCATGAAAAATGATGATTCACATTTGTGTTGTAGTGATAACTTTTTCTTTGTGGTGAACTTTGCAGTTATTTTTGTTGGATTTTTAAAAAGAGGTAAAATGGTTTCCCTTCTCAATCAAATTGATTTTATTGATCCACACATACAAAGTAGTACAATTAAGTCTCTGGAATTAAATTTTCAGACCATTGACCCTACAAGTGTAATCTTTTATTGAGTCAAATTGCTAAATTAAATCCCATCATCTAAAGCACATTAAAGTGAATTAAGAAAGATAGAGACTATGCAACCCATTTATTTCCTAAACAGGCTGAAGATAACTACACAGCTGTCAGAACACTGGGCTTGCAAATTATTAGAACAGCCCACAGAGAATGTCTCCTAGCAGTTTCATCCAAACAAATGATCTTGTATTCATTTCAGTAGTAGTAGAAGGGGTAGCTGTGTGTGCAAGTATTATATGCAAAAGCAAAATAGAAATAAAAAATGAAAAAAGACAAAAATGTAGAGTCACCTTAAAGACTAGCCTTTATATATTTTAATGTGAGCTTTCATGGACAAGTCCACTTAATCAGATGTTGTTTTTTAATTTTTATTTTGGTTTTACCTATAATATTCATTTCAGTTGACCTAGTTTCAAAATTTGGCCCTCTGTTATAGATATCTTTATATTTTAACTTTGTCTTGTTAATGTCAGAATATTAGTTCATACAGATTCTCTGTTCCCCAAATGTTTAGGTAATGTTTTCTAGTTCTGTCTTTAAAGGAATGTCTTAAGGATATTAAAAGCATTTTGAGTAGAATATTTCAAGATTTTTTTTTAGCTCTAAAGGATTGGAGAGGGGAAAATAATGAGCAAAGTATAAAACCACACTCCCCAAAATGGGTAAAACTACTTTGGGGGGCTTTCAAATTAGTTTTCTACCATGTTGTTACCTGATGATTAATGAGTCCTTCTCTAACTGGGAGGAGGTAACTATTGGGGTACCCCAAGGCTCAGTCCTGGGCCCAGTTCTCTTCATTATTTTTATTAATGACTTGGATGAGGGAGTGCAGGGAATGCTTGTCAGATTTGCAGATGATACAAAATTGGGTGGAATAGCTAATACCCGGCCTAGAAGACAGAAACAAAATTCAAAATGACTTTGATAGGATGGAGCACTAGGCCGAAAGCAACAGAATGAAATTCAACAGGGAGAAGTGCAAAGTATTGCACCTCGGAAAAAGAAATCAATTGCACACAAGATGGGAAGGATCTTGGAATTGTCATAGATCACAAGCTAAATATGAGCCAACAGTGTGATGTGGCTACAAAAAAGGCAAGTGCTATTTTAGGCTGCATTAATAGAAGTATAGTTTGCAAATTCCATGAGGTGCTTGTTCACCTCTATTCAGCACTGGTTAGGCCTCACCTTGAGTATTGTGTCCAGTTCTGGATACCACACTTCAAGAAGGATGCTAACAAATTGGAACAAATTCAGAGGAGGGCGACAAGGATGATCAGGGGGCTGGAAACCAAGCCTTATGAGGAAAGGCTGAAAGAATTGGGCATGTTTAGCCTTGAGAAAAGAAGACGTGAGGGGTGATAGCACTTTTCAAGTATTTGAAAGGCTGTCATACAGAGGAGGGACAAGATCTGTTCCCCATCATCCCAGAGTGCAGGACATGCAACAATGGGCTCAAGTTAAAGGAAGCCAGATTTTGGTTGAATATCAGGAAAAACTTCCTACCTGTTAGAGCAGTACGACAGTGGAACCAGTTACCTCGGGAGTTGGTGAGTGCTCCAAGACTGAAGGCATTCAAGAAAAACTTAAATAATCACCTGACAGATATGCTTTGATTGTATTCCTGCATTGAATACCAGGCGTTGGACTTTTTAAATTATTATTTTATTTCATTTTCATAGGGATAGGGGTTATGGTACAAATAGTGGGCCAGGTAAGGGGGGGATGGTAAGAAAGGGTAAAATTCCAGAGAGCAAAAAATATTCTTATATCTGCTTATACAATTGTATTAAAAATGGAAATCATACAAAGAGAAAAAACATTATAACAATTTTCCATAATTATCATTACTAATCTTCCATTTTCTTCGACTTTCTCTTTCTTTTTATCTTTAAGTTTACTAGTTTTATAAGTTTAATATTATTCTACCGTCTTATATCTATTGTTCTATATTGCTCTGAATCACTCTTATAACCATTAATTTGTGTTCATTTTATCATACATTCTTTCACCACAAAATACCTTCTTAGATTTAACATTTATCTCCACTGCACTATCTTCATTTTCTAACCATTATTTTGTGCCCCTTTAATCATGTCGTCTTTAATTTTCGTCTTATGGACCAGGCATCCATTTTCAAGAGCTTCATCCACTCCACGTATTGTCTCCTTTGTTTCATCTGCCACAGCATGTGCCCCATCATCTCGATTCTTCTCTCTTTCATATTGAAGTTCATAGTAAATTTCATCATTTGCTATAATCTGCTGTTGACATCTCCATAAGGGGTCTTCACTATAAATTCCATTTTTGTCTCCACATCTTTAATTTGTTCAAATAGCTGATCCATCTCTGTTTTCATCTGGTACAGTCCATTAAGACTGTATTCAGTCCATGTTTGAACATTCTTGAGAATGTCTTGTTGTTCCATAATTAGATGCAGTCCATGTTTGAACATTCTTGAGAATGTTTTGTTGTTCCATAATTAGATGGATTTCTTTCCAGCAGGTAGTAACCAAAATAGTTATTGACAATAGTAGCTTGGGGCAGAAGGTTGACAGGAGGAAGGCCTTTCCCAAGACTGTTTCTGGCTGCTTCACAGATTTAAATCCATCAGTAGCTTATACAGTGGTGCCCTGCCTGACGACGACCCCACTTGACAATGAAATCGCTTGACGACGAGTTTTTTGCGATCGCTATAGCAATCGCAAAACGATGATTCCTATGGAGTTTTTTTTGCTTTACGTCGATTAGGTGACTGCTTCGCGAACCGTTTGTTCGCAAAACAATGTTTTTTCTGGCTCCGCAAAATGGCTTCCCTTCACAAAATGGCTTCCCTCCCTTCACAAAATGGCTGTTTTCCAGACAGAAGCTTTGGAAGACAGCGATTTTAAACAGCTGATCGGCTGTTCTCTATGGGTGATCTTCGCTGGATGATGAGGTATTTCCCCATTGGAACACATTAACCGGTTTTCAATGCATTCTAATGGGTTTTTTTTTCCGGTTCATGATTTCGCTTAACAGCGATTTTCCTGGAACGGATAATCGTTGTCAAGTAGGGCACCACTGTAGTTATATTGTCCTGCAGGAGCGAGTTTCATTGCCACAATAGAAGCAGATGTGTTTTTTCTCCCTCCCCCTCCCTCCTCCTTTCTTTCTGTTTCTCTCAGCCAAGCCTCAGGTGAAGGGGGGGAGTGTTCACCAGTCTGGCCAGATATAGGTCTAGTCACTTTGTCTAACAGATTACACCCAGTCTCTTCATTTGTTTAGGTCCTTAGCAGTTCCATATGTAAAACAAGCCACTTACTTCAAGTTTGGTCAAGATTATTTTTTCCAAAATCCTTCTATACTTTTCAGCTCTCTGCCTTTGTGGCGTTCACAGCTCTGTGCCAAATATGGCACCCAGCCAGTTTCTGCTTTTCAGATTGTGACTTCAAAGAAAGGCTAATCCAGGAATCTCCCAGGCCACCTCCCTTCTCAATCAGATTCTGTTTTTTCAGGCTTTTACTTCTCCTAGTAAAAGTCCTCCCCCCACCCAAGTTCTGATGCAGAAGCCCAACCAGTCTCGCTGCAACGAAGCCCCACCCCAGCAGGGGGTTGGACATATTGGCCTTGTAAGCCCCTTTCAATTTCACTTTTATATGATTCTGATTCTATGTTCCTCTGCTTGAATTGGAGTCACTTCCAATAATGTTCTCTTGTAAATCACCTGTAGTATAAGGCATACAGAAATAAATAGTAATTATTTGGCTCTTTCTATTCAGAAACAGAAAGCCAACACTTTCCTAGTTTGAATATAGAAGAACTTAGAATTGCAGAATTTTTACCACACAAGCATCTTCATTTCTCTTTCTGACACATACTAGTTGTGTTTTACAAAGATTGTGAACTACCCATCTTTTTTCCAAATATACAAATTACTTTGTATTAAGGCTTTGAAATGCCTTTGCTAGATGTCAAGACCTCATGTCAGAATATATTGCCTGAGTATTGTCTTCGTATAATTGAAATCAAAACAGAAGCATACACTTTTTATACTGAATCTAAGGAAGAATATGTAAAAGCCTTGTTTGTACAAAGCATTTTGTTTGGATTTTTGTGTAAATTTTTTTCCTTATAAAATTATTTTGTAAAATTTGAGTGCACCCTGAACTTGATGAGGCCACTCAAAAAATGAACAAAAGTACATTGATAATATAGAGCTGGCAGCTCCTTTTTGGTACTAGAACTCCCGGAATCCCCCAGCCAGCAGATAACTGCTCTAACCTCCATGGTATTCATCCTGTTTGCTCTAACCACCTGTATTTAAGATAGACCATCTTTATTTACTTGTGTTTGACATTTTATTATGTCTCTTGGTTGAACAACAAAAGCACAATCCTATTCCTGTTTATTTAGGAGTTCTATTGCAGTCAGATAACTTTGCTTCTTAATAAGATTGCTTAAAATTGCAACATAAATTAAACTTTTTAAAAAATATTTTAAATCATTAAAAAAAGAAAAAAAAATAAGCCATACAAGTGGAAAAGAGAGCATAGCCCCCAAATGAAAAGCTAAAAACAAATTATCCAAATTGAAAAGCAAGAACAAAATAGTTGTTGAGAAGGATCAGGTAAAAAAGAATATCAGTTTCATTCAAAAGTCCCAGTGTCCAAAAAAGAACCTAGACATAAACTTCAGTGGAAGCTGACCAAATACAGTGGTGCCTCGCACAACGAGCACCCCGTAGAGTGAATTCGCTCTACGAGGACATTTTTTATCGCTAATGCAATCGCAGAGCGATGGCCTCTATGGCCGAAAATCGCACAGCGAAGGTCGGTAAGCGTTTCGCTTCCCGACCTTCGCTTTGCAACCCGACGATCAGCTGTTCGGCGGGTCCAAAATGGCTACCGGAAGCCTCAAAATGGCTGCCGGAAGCTGCAAAATGGCCACGCGCAGCGTTTTCGCGCCCTCATTAAGCGAGGGGAGGGCACGAAAATGGCTGCCGGCCATTGGAAAAGCATCGCTGTATGGTGAGTAAAGCTGCTATTGGAACGCATTAAACTAAGTTTAATGCATTCCAATGGCTTTTTCCTTCCCGTACAGCGATGCTTTCACACAGCGAGGGTTAATCTGGAATGGATTAACCTCGCTGTGCGAGGCACCACTGTATCCGTACATGTGCTATTACCATCTATAGGTCATGTACTCAGACATCAGAAAAGATATACATTTCATTAAGTAATGGAGGATGGGTATTTATTTTTCCACTATCAGTCATTTTACCACTGTAAGGGCATGGGAAATCCATTCCTTTGACTATTTGTTAATTTGAGACAGATAGATAGTTTAACAAAATATGTACATCTGCAGAATTAGAAGATTGCTCCAATACTAAATTAATAATCTAATAATATTTCCCCAATACAGTGATGCCTCGCTTAACAATTACCTCGTTAAACGACAAATCCAAATGAGGTTTTTGCGATCGCTTTTGTGATCACAAAACGATATTTCAATGGGCAAAAATTGCTTTACGACTATTGGTTCCCTGCTTCGGGAACCAATTCTTCGCATTACGATGATCTGAAAACAGCTGATCTGTGGCTCTCAAAATTGCCGCCTGCTGTGCAAAATAGCTCCCCGCTGTTTTCAGGACTTAATTTTTGCAAGACAGGCACTGGAAAATGGCCGTCCTATGGAGGATCTTCGCTGGACAATTAGGTATTTAGCCCATTGGAACGCATTAACTGGTTTTTAATGTGTTTCAATTGGGTTTTTTTTCCCCGCTTGATGACGATTTCACTCTATAGCGATTTCGCTGGAACAGATTAACGTCGTCAAGCGAGGCACCACTGTATAGGATATAATTGGAGATAGCTGGAGCATATATTTGAAAGATGGCACAAAGGATATTACATAGGCAACAATTAATAGATTTACAAATGCCTTTTCTGAAAAGTGGTTTGCTATGTCCAGTGTATGGAGCACATAATTTTCTGCTATTTTAATTAAATTAGATTGAATATTTAAATAGCGTAGGTTTATGCTGCCTAGCACCCTACCCTTATTCATGAGATTCAGTGACCCTCATGTTTTACTGTAACAAAAATAAGGGCAATAGAGCCTTCCGTTTCAAATAAAATTCTGGGAGCTGTTGGGGTAGGATGCCAGTCAAGGCTGATTATTCAGTCAGAACTAAGAGTGCAGAAGGCCCGCAAAAAACTTCTCCAGATTTCTTTCTGGATTTCTGGAAGTTTGTTCTACTATCCCCAAGGTACATTTCCCTTCTGCTCATAAATTAGTGTCACTGCCACCAGTTATGGATTACACTTTTAGAATTCATAGGAAAGTATTGGGGTCCTTCCTTCCTGTAAGATGTCTTCCAGTCTTCTTTCCACCCTAGAGACAGAAATTAGATTTCCAGCTTTTGAGCTTTGCTGTAATCCCCCCATTAACTTGGATTATCTTGATAGTTGATTTTGCAGCCTTAAATCCTTCACACGGGCTTTCTTCTTTAGAATTCAACAATCTATCAATTCTAAAAAGTCATATTGTATTAAGAGGAAAGAAAAAACATTTGGGGTAAGATTGTTAGGTGTTATATCTTATAAGCAACTATACAATACAAAACCAGAAGGAATTACTTCATTTCATCATACAGTTATGTTAAATGAGCATGCATCAAAACAATGAAGATAAAGTTTCAGAGCAATGAAGAAAAAAATTACCTGTGTAATTCCCCTTCATTACAGAAAGTGCATATACGTTGATATCATTGTAAATTGATCAGTATAACTGTATAAATATATTTCTTCTGCAAGCTCTGTTTTGTTCGGAAGATGTGTGACACAGCAGACGTTGCAGAAATGATAACTTGGATACAAATGTTTATCTGTGTTTTTGACTAGAAGTAGATACTCTGCAGTCCATGACATGACTATTGTTAGATGTTTTTCTAGACCTCCTGATGATTAATGCATACACATTTTCATGTATTTATTAGATCAGTTGTCATGTGGATTTTTGTTGCTGTACATTCTCTTATTAAAGCAAAAGGTCTTGTATTGAAAACTTTTGTTTTATAAGCTTCCTCATATTTAAGGGCTTATTAGGACTATTATCTAGTTCACTTATTATTTATGCTGTAACCTGAATATAGTGCAGTCTATTTTACGGGAAGTGATGATGGAACTCATAGACACAAAACTGATTTCCTATTTCAGCTGATTGTTTAGATCCAGCCTGTTCAAATCATGGTATATGTATCCATGGAGAATGCCATTGCAATCCAGGATGGGGTGGTAACAACTGTGAAATACTGAAAACTATGTGTCCAGACCAGTGTTCTGGCCATGGAACATACCTTCAAGAAAGTGGCACCTGCACTTGTGACCCTAATTGGACTGGTCCTGACTGCTCTAATGGTAAGGATTCTGTTTATACTAAGTCATTTTAAAATACTGGCCAAAATTCTTGTGCATACTGTAGCTACAAAAATGGTTTAACTTTTGGAGGCAAGTTGCCCCAATGAAGATATCACTGCAGACATTATCAGTTGCATACTGCATCATATGTGTGTTTGTGTGCCCTGTGCCATCAAATTGGAACCGACTTACAGCAATCCTAAAAGGGCTTTCAAGGTAAGAGAAATATTTAAGGAACGGTTTTACCAGTTCCACTCCCTCAATGAGTTTCCATGGCCAACTGGGAATTTGAACCCTGTTCTCCAGCATCCTTTTTCACCGCCCTATACACTACACCACACTGGGATTAAGGCAACTCATTATAGAACTTATAAAATCTTCAGTGATTTCTTAACTTGGGGCAATTTACCTCCAAAAGTTATATGCTATATGAGCATACCTGGGTAAGAGGATTTGTGCCATTGTGTGATAACAGGTCCCAGTATAATCAAAGTCTACACTCAGTGTACATAAAACTTAGAGCAATAGCTAGTTGCCTTTGGCACTATAGTAAAATGTATATGGCCAGGATGCCAGAGACTGAAGAACACCATCCTGCATAATGAATGAAGTGGGAAGTCCAATTCATATCCAATTATATAACACATGTAAAATATTTCCATATAGCACATAGAATCTGAAGTTGTTTATTAAGGAAATCTCATTGAAATGCTATGCATTGACAGTCCAAATAAGGATGTGATGCCTCCTTGGTCACCATATTGTAGTGAAACTTTTCTCAGCTGCCTTGCTGCAGTCTGTTTGTGCTAACATACCAGCCTCCAACATTACAATATAATTTCATATCTTGAGATATTACAGTGATTGTATTTGTATATTACACTGTGTATCCTTTCATCTCACAAACATAATGTAGCATCCCCTCCCAGGCATCTCTGGTTTCTGTATGAATGTCTGTAAAGAAGAGTCCTCCTCTTAATAAATATTTGCACTTTATCAATGTGAGAGGTAGATAGTGCAGGTGATGTTGGAAGGCAGGGCTTTACAGCATAACTCTGCTCCCTAATGCCAACTTAAGATCAGCCGTATTTTGAACGCCCAAATAGGGCTCTAGAATCTGTGTACAGATTCTATAGATTTTAAAATGTCCATGTGCATAGATTATGAATGCTGTGTTCTCTTTCTTTATAAAATATTTTCTGACTGATTATGCTTTAAAAATGGAGGAAGCTGTAAAATAATAAATGAATCCTCTAGTTGTACTCCAGTTTTTGATATCCTGAAAATACGTAGGTATCCTAAAATATGAAATGTGATGTTTCAAGTAACCTACAGAAGATCAATACTGATTAATTCATAATTTTGTAAAACTGTCAATATGCTGAAATGGAAAAGAATAATCTGTTTTGTTCCATCAAAGGATTTATAGGTTAAAATCAACTTTTACTTTCATCATTGGTTTGTTCATTAAGTAGCCCCAATTCTACTTCAGCTAAATTAACTCTAATTAATAAGTTCATTACAAAGACTGACATACTTTGCTTAAAGCAAGTGTGCTGAAGACTGATAAACACCTTCACACTAATGAAAAATTGATTAGATTGAAGACAAAAGGTAGGTCCTCTTGGTAGATTGGTTAATCAATCCATCTGAGATCCCACAATTTAAAAAAAATCTAATTAAAATTTAAAACTTTATTTGGAGAAAACACACTTGGCAAATGAACATTCTAGTACAGTATATAAAAGTGTCACCTTTCCTGAGTATATGTTTGCTATTCTCCAGGATTGTCAGTGTAGTACACTTAAGGGCGTGGGGGGGGTCCTTTTAGCTCAATGTATGTACTTCCTTTTCATATACTGTGTATTTCAGATAATTTCTTAGCCATGTTTCAGAATTGCCATTCTGTTTTACAGGAAGATATAAAGTTGTAATATGCCTACAATCCTGCTTATAGTTGTGCCATTTTTGTTTGAACAAACTTAAACTGTCCCTTTGGCTGTGTTACATGTGTTTTATTGCCTGTTATTAGCTTCAAAGAAAACTATTCTCCAAAAAATGAGATGCAACAATGAATGGAAATTTACTGGAAGATTATTTCTCTCCTTGTGTTTCTTTTGAAAATGAAGTTTTGTATCCTATTGGTAGTCTCATCTAGAAAGTAAACACAATGGCCAAGCGCTGTTGCAAAGCTACATCTATGTAGCATGAAATTGTACAGTTTGTTGCAAAATTTGCACCAAGGCAAAAGTCTTACTCAGGAGGCAGTTCCACATGTGGTTATGCAATCAATTGTGCAGTTAGTATGCAGTTAGTTGCATGATTTGTTGCACAATTCATTGCACAGATATATTGCCTGCCTGAGTGTAACTCCCTGCGAGCTTACGCAAGCATAACTTCACAGTATGTAAAGTATAACAGGATTTCAGCCATTGAATGAACTGGTGAAGTCACTGCTTATATAAATCCCATTGAGTCACTAGTTCCACTCTTGTTGGGACAAGCAAAAGGACAATGGCTAAATTGTATTATGTAACCTAGAAAACATTTTATGAGTAATTACTCTGTATTTCCACAGCAAGACAAACAAAAAAATGAGTACTATGTGTGATTTGTTGATTAGGTTTTTTTTTGTTTTTTGTTTTTTGTTTTTTTTTTGTTTTGTTTTTTGTTTTTGGCTAGGTAAAAGATATTACTCATTGTCGTCAATGCTACATACCTATAGAAAGTAGGACAGGGACTCTCCCTATATTTAACATGTCAGTGTATCAGCAGTGCATTATTATGTATAACTGAGTGCTGTAAAGACTTTTTGTACCATTACAGATAGTTTTTTTTTTTTTTTTTGTTTTTGGCTAGGTAAAATATATTACTCATTGTCGTCAATGCTACATACCTATAGAAAGTAGGACAGGGACTCTCCCTATATTTAACATGTCAGTGTATCAGCAGTGCATTATTATGTATAACTGAGTGCTGTAAAGACTTTTTGTACCATTACAGATAGTAATTAAGCAATATCATTTTGCTGCTGTTTACATGAAGGATAATTCATGTAGGATTCTTACTTCTCAGCAGAAGCAAGTGTATGTATATGAGCTGAACTATAAAGTCCCATTAGAAATGTAGTAAACAGGGAGTGGCACAAGTTCATTCTACTCTTTTGTCCCTTTACATGTGCAAGGGAAATGTTGCACATCTGTGTTGCAGTTTGTGATAAAGCTTTTTACTATTGTTAACACAAGCAGTTATTCCTAGAAACATCAGAAACTCTCTCTTTCAGGAAGCCAGCTGCATGGAATGTGCAACCCTTTTCAGTGTAGTTGAGTCAACCCCTATGCACTCTGATAGGCCCTTTCTGTCGAACACGGTGATCAATAGCAGACAGATAAGAAATTGTTCTATGTAAAATATGTAGACAAAGCAACTCTGCCTACCAGTGCAATTGTTGTAAGACCCAAAAGAAATTTTTCTAATGAGAGTAGGAAGTTAGGACTTCGGATAATTTCAGTCACTGTTACAGGTTTGTTGAAGGTGGGAAAAGCACTGTTGCACACATCGCAATGGTCTCATATTAACCCTTTTCAATTATATGGGCTGTCAGAATAGGCTGAATCACCTGTATGTAATTGATGTGGATATGAAATACTCTGGAATCTTTACTAATCCCTTTGAGTTGTATTTAAGTATTGAAATGGTGGATTGAATCACCACAGCAGGGGGGAGCCTTTAATAAATAATAATTTGTGTGATGTCAAGTCAGTTTTGACTTAATTGTGGCTCTTTCCAGGATTTTCTAGGTAGAGAAGTGGTTTGCTGTTCCCTTCTTCTTGTCCGATGCACAGTGGGGAATTGAACTCCCAACCTCTGGCTTCACAACCAGATATCTTAACTCTCACTGAGCTGTCCAGCCAGCTACTAGATAAAAATTGCCACTGGATTGCCACCAGTGGTCCTGATCTCATCATCAACAACCCAGAAGCAGGGTTTGTTTTTTTTACTATTAAAGCCTTCCCTTCCTCATCCTGAATAGGAAGCTTTCAATTAATTTAAATTTAATTAAATTTAAATTAATTTAAATTAAAATGACAACATCACCTTAATTCCACTAGCATGAATTTATACAAAAGGCATATTGCAGAACAGAAGTAGCCAATAAGAGTATTTAATCTGGCTGTCTTAGTAGATAGCCCATGTAGTGTATCGGCTAGAGTGGCTGGGGGGGCTCAGGAGACCTTGGTTCAAATCCCTGGTCAACCATAGAGTCTCATGGTGGGAGCGGAACTGGTAAATTCACCCCTTAAATACCTTGAAAGCTGCGGGTTCCAACGATGGCACACAATGACCAGATAGGCTGTAAATAAAATAAATAAATAAATAAATAAATAACAACAACAACTCTTATATACTGGAGAAAGTATAATATTAAAATTAAATGGTAGTCTTTAATTTTCTATAGTTTCAACTTCTGTTTCTTCAGTTTCCCCTATCCTACTCCCATTTCTGACCATATGTTCACAGTCCAGGGGATATTTTGTTGATCCTCATAAGTTTATAAGCACATGATAAGTAAATAAATAAATAAATAACAACAACAACTCTTATATACTGGAGAAAGTATAATATTAAAATTAAATGGTAGTCTTTAATTTTCTATAGTTTCAACTTCTGTTTCTTCAGTTTCCCCTATCCTACTCCCATTTCTGACCATATGTTCACAGTCCAGGGGATATTTTGTTGATCCTCATAAGTTTATAAGCACATGATAAGAGGTTTCTTGTAAGAATTATGTTATTAGGAAAACTTACTTTCAAGTAAGGCGAAGTTAACTGAAGAAAATCTGTAAATAACTAGATATCACGTTTGCTGGGTGATAGCTATACAAATAAATTTAGAGCTTGGCTTATTATTGTATTTTTCCTCCTGCCCTTCTTCCATTCATCTACCTGGTATTGTTAATTTTTGATGCAGAAATATGCTCCGTTGACTGTGGCACTCATGGTGTCTGCATGGGTGGTACATGTCGTTGTGAAGAAGGCTGGACTGGTCCATCCTGCAGTCAGAGAGCATGTCATCCACGGTGTGCTGAACACGGAACTTGTAAAGATGGAAAGTGTGAATGTAGTCAAGGCTGGAATGGCGAGCACTGCACCATTGGTAAGCCAACTCTGCTTCAATGCTCTTCTTCATTGCCCAAAGTCACAGTGTTGGCCATGTCTGAATTAGAAATTAGACACTTGGAAGCCGTTTTTTTTTAACAGAGCATTTTCATTTGTCAGTCTCTGTAAAGAAATTGGTATTATTTAAAAAAAACAGAAAGAAAGAAAAGAAGTGATTATATAATGGATCACCAACCCTTTATGGAGCTTGCCCCAGATAAAGAAGGGCAGGCATTCCCTTTTACTAATACATACTTTCTCTGACTGCAGTAGACAGTACTGTTTTTATGCTCATAATCTGTGAATAAATTGCTTCATTTCTAGAGGCTTTTCTATTTTTAGTTGCTATTTGTACATCTCATTTTAACATTATTAACAAAAAAAGAACTAAAGATACATTGTATGTGAATATAAAAGCTGAAACATGCTTGCCAGGAAAACTAGCACCCTGGAATTATTTTTATCTTGTCTTGTTAGCAGACACAATGAGTTATTTAAAATTTCCACTCAGTTTCTATTTCAGTATTGAGAAATTAAGAAATTTGCTGACTTTCAGCACTTCCATTCCTAGTTGTTGTTGTTGTTTTCACAAGCAAGAGCAAAGACCTTGTGTTTTTAATAGAACCAAGCATCATTTTCTTTCTTTACAACATGAATATCATATGGTTATAAAAGAAAGATATCTTTGTTGAGTCACATGGTATAAAAGGTAATTTTCTGTCCTAGGCTCCTGTTAGTGCTCCTTTCTGCAAGCTGATCTATGACCATATAAACTTTGATCTCTGACTAAATTGGATCCATGAGCAGTCATTAAGTATCATGAAGAACAGAAACAATGGAAGAACTCTCTCAGTGATTCTTCATTTTGTCTCCATATTTCCTTTTGCAATAAAAACTACCTATGAGAAAATGGATGTGGAAGACAAAACCTGTTCCTAAAAAGCTTTAGCTTGCCAGCTAGTAATTACTTAGGAGATAACTCTCCTGTTGACGCTACTGACCTTGGCAGTATTACAGGGGTTAAAGTTATTTGGGGATGAATTCTTCTTGTACAGTTTTTCCAGTGTATTTGGCACAAGCAGACCTTTTCTTCAGCACTTGATTTTCCCCCTTTATATTTCAAATCCACGAATTTCTCATTTATTTATTCCAATGCTACTTTTGTAAAGCTAAATACACTATTTAGATGGATTATAATTCATAAGTTTTTTAATGGGATGGCTATTTGCTTGAAGAGACAGTCTGATTCAGCAGTAGTCCCAAAGCTCATTTAATGCTGCTGAGATGCCACTTCTCTATAACCATAGTCCCCAACAAGTGTGAGTCACAGCTCTCTAACACAATTCTCTCTTGGATTAAAAGTGAAAAATTCTATTAAAACACAGTTTACAATATACTTCAGTCAGTGTGTGTTATTTTTATGTTTGCCATACTTTTGGAACCTCAGAAATACAGGTACCTAGTTACAGATCTCTTGTCATAGAATGCCAGATTCCTGATTTAATATGGGAAGCACATCTATATACATTTTGAAGACAACAACATGGTTAAAAGTGGTTAAATATCATTCAATTAATGTCTTCTGCTGCAAAAAGTAGTGCTTTGAATTCCTTAACTTTATTCTACATATTTGTTCTTTAATCGTGTCCGAATCTTCATGACCCCATGGACCAGAGCACACCAGGCCCTCCTGTCTTCCACTGCCTCCTGGAGTTGGGTCAAGTTCATGTTGGTAGCTTCGGTAACACTGTCCAACCATCTCATCTTCTGTCATCCCCTCCTCCTCTTTCTTTCACACTTTCAAGGTCTTTTCCAGGGAGCCTTCTCTTCTCATGAGATGGCCAAAGTACTGGAGCCTCAGCTTCAGGATCTGTCTTTCCAGTGAGCACTCAGGGTTGATTTCCTTTAGAATGGATAAGTTTGTTCTCCTTGCAATCCAGGGGACTCTCGAGAGCCTCCTCCAGCACCACAATTCAAAAGCATCAATTCTTCAGCAGTCAGCTTTCTTTATGGTACAGCTCTCCCATACATCACTACAGGAAAAACCATAGCTTTGGCTATGCATGCTTTTGTTGGCAAGGTGATGTCTCTGCTTTTTAAGATGCTGTTGAAGTTTGTCATCGCTTTCCTCCCAAGAAGCAGGCATCTTTTAATTTCGTGG